AGCCTGAACCAAGCTGGGCCAAAGATGGGATATGAGCAACTAGGAAAAGTGCTGAAGTCAGGTTAGAAGGGCTCTTCTCTCCTGAGAGAGCATGTGTTTCCTCTCTCCAGTATATCAGTGTCTAATTCCCACCTATGGCCCCTTTTCATGCTTTGTCTTTTTAAGAATTATTTATTTTATGTATATGAGGCAAGAGAGTCAAACAGGAATTTGGATTGCAGAGTGGAAGTCTATTTCAAAATAAAATAACCTTGGAGGACAACATAATTTAAGTGACCAGTTGCCATGAGACATAAGATAGACAGACAGTCAGACAATGCTGCCTATTAGCAATCCTTTCTCTGGTGACTTCTCAGGTACAGAACAGCAAGATGAGGCCATTGCAGTCCATAGCACAAAGCCAAGACTTACTGATACAAAGGTAACCCCACAACCTATTTTTTAGGGTATGTGACAGGGCCAGGTCCCCTATCCCGTCTGGAAATAGATGGCCAAGACGCTCTTTATGGACGGGGTCACATTACTTGACAACAGACCAGATGGAAGCAGACTTTTGAAATACTCCTGGAGAACAAAGCCGGTGCCTGGAATAGGGATAAACCACGCCAGAAGAGGGATTCTTTCAGGCACAAACCAGGAATTAGGCCATCTTGGATGAAATGGGAAGTATTCAGAGATCACCCTGGTCTAGTCCAGGGCCTATTTCCCTAGCTATCTACCTACTCAAAAATTAACTATCTCCTGCCTTCCCTTGGATGGATGGATGGATGGATGGATGGATGGATGGATGGATGGATGGACGGACAAACTGATGCAAGACTATAATTCCAGTCTGCAAGGGTCAAGTCAAAAAGATCACAAGTTTCAGACCAGTGTGGACTACAGAGACAAAAGAAAAGGGGCAGGGGCAGGGAGGATGAAGGTAGAGCTTCCCCAGTAAAAACCATGTTCTCTATGGCTGGCTCCTGTAAATTACTTGGGAAAACTCTCCGGAGACCAGCCCATCATTGCTTTCCATTTCTTCTTTATTTTTAGATCACAACTCAATACCATTCTTTTCTGTGATCTTGTCTGTCACAAGCTTTCTCAAGATACACACCCAAGTCTTTCTATACATAAGATCTTTCTCTCTCTTCCAACCATGAGACCTACAAAGAAGCTCTGACTTTCAGCCCCACATCTCAAAACTAAGCTCACCAGGGCCTACTCAGTCAAGCATCTACCAACCTGCTCCCCAAAGTTTCTTCCCCTTTAACTTCTCCAGGATCAGCCAGACAGTGGTGGCACACGCCTTTAATCCCAGCACTTGGGAGGCAGAGACAGGCGGATTTCTGAGTTTGAGGCCAGCCTGGTCTACAGAGTGAGTTCCAGGACAGCCAGGGCTACACAGAGAAACCCTGTCGCAAAAAAAACAAAACAAACAAACAAACAAACAAAAAAACAAAAAAAAAAAAGAAAGAAAAAGAAAACTTCTCCAGGATCTTGTATATTGTGGGTCCATGTTCCACCCTGCTGCTGGGGTGGTCCTGGGCTTTAGGGAAGTGCTGAGATACCACTCAGGGTGGAAGAATGGAGTCTAAGATGGGGGAGGCCAAAGTTGGGGTTCCCTGACTCCTGGATATCCAATCACCACTGGGGTGCCTCACAGAGGAGTCGGAACGAAGGATTGGGGTCTGCGGGCCCTCAGGCTGAGGACAATGACAAATCCAGCCAGGGAAAATAGGGAAGTCCAGTTTAGCTCATCAGTGAAAGTCCTTACTTTAATGTAGTTGTCTAGAAGCGCAGAGAGGCCTTCCACAGAAGACTTAGGCTGTGGCTCTGTAGGCAAAGGCCTTCGCTACGCTCCCCACAGAGGTTCTGGATGAAACCCATGTTTATCCATACCATTTATTGACTGTTCATCATGGAAAATGAATGCATACCAACTCCTCAGGGTGGACCAGACAGAGATTAAATACCTTTAGCAGGAAGGAATGTCTGGGAAGGGAAATTTATGGGCTAAGCCCTCAGGGCCTCTAGATACCTCATTAGCATGGAAAACTCTGTTCTGGGCTACATGACCAACCAATGTGAGGAGCGTGGACATGTACTCCAGACCAGGAATCTAGTAGGGAGCAGGGAGGCGCCTACCACCTCAGGTGGGTACCCAGATACCAGGGTCTCTGACCCGATCGACCTTACCAAGTTTCCTGGCATGATCCACTGTCTATTATGCCACAAAACTCTATTTATCACTTGGGAGGCAGGTGCTATCTTCTTTTTAAAAGAGGGTCTCCTGAAGCTCAGACTGACCTCAAGCTTACCATGTAATAAAACATAGCCTTGAACTTCTGATCCTCTTGCCTCTACCACCCAAGTGCTAGGATTACAGGCACGTACACCATGCTAGGGATCCCATGGCCTCCAGTATGTGATGTGAGTTAGCGACCAACTGAGCCACATTCTCAGGCTTTGGTTTGTTTCTTAAGACAAGGTCTAGCTATATAGCCTATGCTAGCCTCAAACTCAGGATCTTTCTACCTCCGTCTCCCAAGTGCCGGGATTACAGGTATGGCCAACGTGACCAATGCCTGCCTTCGTGTATATGTG